GCAAGAGTAGAGTGAATACCTTCTTTAAGAAGTGTCAAATAACCTGAGATCACGGTAAATAAATAATTAGTTCTTCATGTGATCATAAAGTGATTAGTAAAAATAAAATAATTTCAATTTCATACCGTAAGGACCTTCATTTAAAAAATTGGTACATTCATTGGATATAAAAAAAAAAAAAATCAAAATCAAAACTTTCCATCAAAAAAAAATTTTTTTTTTGAATTTATGTGGATAATCTACCTCGAAAATCTTGAATTCCTATCATCATTTTGAAATAATAAAAAAATAAAAAAAAAAAGTCCATGGTTTAATGAATTTATGATTTTTTTTCATATCTTTCATATTTTTTTCACTTTTTTCATAATGCTAACCAGCACTGGTCGAAACACCTGCACCAGTGAACATAACCACATGATTTGAATTACGAATAAGTTCGGCCAATTTTCTGATTTTTTTTTGTACTTGATCGATTGGATCAATATATTCTTTGATGTCATCTGGTAATTTGATCGAAGCAGACATTTTTTATTTTATTTTATTGTTTTGGGAAATTATCAGATTCCCGATTAAGAAACAAATAATTTTTATAAAAGGATTAAAAAGTATTTAGGAAAATATAAATAAAAAGAAGAACAAGAGGAAATAAAGAAAGTAGAAAACAGCGAAAGAAAAAAAAACTGATTTATAAGTTCTTGAATCATTCCGATGTCATCATCAATATTATCAAATCACGTACATTTTTATATTGACACTAAAAATAATACAGTAATAATAAACTCAAAATTGTACGTTTAGAACAATTATTACATTAATTCAGTAATTAATATGATAAAAAATATGATAATATTTGAAGATTATTATAAGGCTTAAAATGGTTTAAGGTTATTAAGCTGCATTCTTTGTATTATTTGTATTACTTATAATAACTAAGTACGCTTTTATTGTCTTATAACCCCATCGACCTTTAAATCAATTAATCTATTATGAAATGGTCGTTTTATCCTCCATTCTAAGATAAAGCAGAAAATCCAAAGGATTTTGGTAGAGATCTTCATTTTAAAAACAATTTTAGAAATTGATGTCTATAAAAGTGATGAAAGACTTGTTATCAAAACATTATTAAACCGTAATAATAGAAATAATCGAATGAAATATTCAAAAATTTCGAAACAAGTGAAAAAATAATAAGTAAACAATATTTTACAATTAAACCAAAATTATAATAATATTTGGAAATTTAGAAAAAATACATCTATCTATATATTCAAGCCCATATGTAATAAATCTAAATATATTTAAGCCCATTTTTAATAAATCTAAATAAAGGCTCGATTTTTTTTTTTATAAATCTCTATAAAATTATTAATTAATTATAACTTTCAATTATAATAGTTAGCTAATCACATATTACATTTAGTTTCAATTAATTTTAATAAAATTTTAATTAATGTTTCGGTTTAATTCTTCTGTCTAATTTACGTCGGCGTACTCTACTCTTTGGATTATCACCTGCTTCACTTCGTTCATCA